AATTCAGAAACACCGTTCATTAAAAATATATACAATGATATACGTATGTACATCTAGCCGTTTAAAGGCAATAAGTCTTTACCACTATATAAAAACTGTGTCAAGTCTTGATGTTTTAGTATGTATGTTCTATGCATTTGTTGAAAGTTTTACCCAGATATTTGTTCAGTTTTCTCTTTTCGAACAGAAAGTGTATGTATTAGATAAACTCTGAGGGTGTTAGACCAATTAAGTGCATTTAAATCTCTCTGCCTTTAACACATGTTGATCATAAAATTGTGTAAATTAGATACACCCTCTCATGCTAATGCCCTCGTTGTATATCTAATACTTAAACCCGCAACCTTCAACCTGCAACCTGCAACCCGCAACCCACAACCTGCATTTTAGACAATTTCGCAACCAACAGTCCGCTCCGGTATCACTTGGTCCAACTCTTTATTGGAATGATTGAAATCTACATTGTAATCACAAGTCAATTTATCTACAAAACTACTTTTGAAATACCAAACGGTTTTTTTTCAATTCTTAATTTTCATCCTTATGATACTTTACTTCAGAACTTGTTCCTGTATTGTTATGAATTTCAGTTAATGGCCAATTTCTTAGTGAAGATTCGTCTAAATTCCATTTAATAGATACATTTAAAAACGCTTACCGTTACCTTGATGGCATTTTTGCTTCAAATAATAAAGAATTCCCTAATCATACTGCTGAAATTTACCCCAGAGAACTTACTTTAAATAAAAGTAATACTTGTATAAACAGCAATACTTTTGCTTTTTGCAGATTTTGACATATGATTACATTTCAGTTTCATACGAACAAATTCGTAAGGGTTCCGTGGAACCCAGTGTCTCGCCTACTTTTGCTGTTAGTCGCAGGCTCAACAAAAATGGGGAAATAATTATTGCAAATTTTCCTCTAGATACTATCTTTTAATTGTAAGAAGCTTCTGTTCAAGTTTGGAAGGAATCCAGGATGGTTTATGAATCTAATAAATGTTTTAAAAACTTTAACTGCAGACTGTATGTAATGTTAACTGGAAGAACAACTAAGTCCATTTATAAGTAATATACGGAAAAACAGGATTTTTTTTTTTACAAAATTTCCTTCTAGATACTAGCTTTTGATCATAAACAAGCTTCTGTCCAAGTTTGGTACAAATCCAGGATAGTGTAAAGAAAGTTATTAAAATTTGAAAAACTTTTACCACACAGTTAATGTTATGTTAACTGGCAGAAAAACTAAGTCCATTTATAAGTAAAATACGGATAAACAGGATTATTTTTTTAACAAAATTAATTTTTTAATACTATCTTATGATCATAAACAAGCTTCTGTCCAAGTATGGTACAAATCCAGGATAGTTTAAGAAAGTTATTAAAATTTGAAAAACTTTAACCACAGAGTGAATGTTATGTTAACTGGCAGAAAAACTAAGTCCATTTATAAGTAAAATACGGATAAACAGGATTATTTTTTTACAAAATTAACTTTTTAATACTATCTTATGATCATAAACAAGCTTCTGTCCAAGTATGGTACAAATCTAGGATAGTTTAAGAGAGTTATTAAAATTGGAAAAACTTTAACCACAGAGTGAATGTTATGTTAACTGGCAGAAAAACTAAGTCCAGTTATGAGTAAAATACGGATAAACAGGATTTTTCTTTACAAAATTTTCTTCTGTATACTATCTTATGATTATAAACAAGCTTCTGTCCAAGGTTGGTACAAATCCAGGATAGTTTAAGAAAGTTATTAAAATTTGAAAAACTTTAACCACAGAGTGAATGTTATGTTAACTGGCAGAAAAACTAAGTCCATTTATAAGTAAAATACGGATAAACAGGATTATTTTTTAACAAAATTAACTTTTGAATACTATCTTATGATCATAAACAAGCTTCTGTCCAAGTATGGTACAAATCCAGGATAGTTTAAGAAAGTTATTAAAATTGGAAAAACTTTAACCACAGAGTGAATGTTATGTTAACTGGCAGAAAAACTAAGTCCAGTTATGAGTAAAATACGGATAAACAGGATTATTCTTTACAAAATTTTCTTCTGGATACTATCTTATGATTATAAACAAGCTTCTGTCCAACGTTGGTACAAATCCAGGATAGTTTAAGAAAGTTATTAAAATTTGAAAAACTTTAACCACAGAGTGAATGTAATGTTAACTGGCAGAAAAACTAAGTCCATTTATGAGTAAAATACGGATAAACAGGATTTTTTTTACAAAATTTACTTCTGGATACTATCTTATAATCATAAACAAGCATCTGTCCAAGTTTATTAGAAATCCAGGATAGTTTAAGAAAGTTATTAAAATTTTAAAAACTTTAACCACAGAGTGAATATTTGTGGACGCCGCCGACGACGCCGGACGACGACGACGACAACGCCGACGACGGAATGTAGGATCGCTATGTCTCGCTTTTGCGACAAAAGTCGCAGGCTCGACAAAAATTAAAAGAAAACTTCACGACGACAAAATAGACGATTTTGTGCCCTTGATCGTTTTAAAGCGTGAATTGATCGGTCTTTTTCGAGTGTTATCATGTTTTTTTCGTGTGAATATGGTGTAAAATGTTAACAAACAGACTTCTTCTCTTTTCGTAAGACGGGAAATAAAAGTTTTAAAAAAACGTCAAAGGTAAAAACATCGATTGAAGTTATACACGTTGGTTTTCCCGTTTGAATGGTTTTACACTAGTAATTTTTGGGGCCCTTTATAGCTTGCTGTTCGGTGTGAGCTAAGGCTCCATGTTGAAGACCGTACTTTGACCTATAATTGTTTACTTTTATAAATTTTGACTTGGATGGAGAGTTGTCTCATTGGCACTCATACCACATCTTCTTATATCTATATATTGTGTAAAAGTTTTATGACAATTGGTTGAGGCAAACTAAAGTTAGAGAATGGAAACCAATTTTGGGACGTACGGACACAGGGACGTTTAGACGGACAAGGGTAAAGTTTAATGCCCCTCCGCTACGGCATAATAAGCTTAATAATATTGGTAGGTTATCGAGTCTCTTTTTGTGATAAAAATTATATGTTTTTTTTTTTAAATAGGACGAATAGGATGACTCGGACTTTTACATTAAATTTAGCATTGGCATTATTTGGGACATACGGATGCACGGACGTACAGACGGACAAGGGTAAAGTTTAATGCCCCTCCGCTACGGCGGGGGCATAATAAGCTAAAAAATATTGATAGGTTATCGAGTTCCTTTTTGTGATATATGTTTTTTTTTTTAAATGGGGCGAAAAGGATGACTCGGACTTTTACATTATATTTAGCATCGGCATTATTTGGGACGTACGGATGCACGGACGTACAGACGGACAAGGGTAAAGCTTAATGCCCCTCCGCTACGGCGGGGCATAATAAACTAAAAATATTGATAGGTTATAGAATTCCTTTTTGTGATATATGTTTTTTTAATTGGGGGAAAAGGATGACTTGGACTTTTACCTTATATTTAGCATTGGCATTATTTGGGACGTACAGACGCACGGACGTACAGATTGACAAGGGTAAATCTTAATGCCCCTCCGCTACGGCGGGGGCATAATAAGCTAAAAATATTGATAGGTTATAGAATTCCTTTTTGTTATATTTTTTTCACTAGAATTATTTCACACGCGAGAAAATGTAAATATATTTATTTTCTAAAAAAATAAAAGTTCGATATCGCACAGCTAATTCTTCTAAAATCTAGAAACAACTGATTAACATAAAAGTTGACAAACACTTAAATTGGAACACGTGCAATCGTGTTAATTCACGAGAAAGATAATAAACCGTTATTAGCTACCACAGACGAACATCTATCAACTCTTGCCATAAACTTGCGTATCGTCCCCATAACATTTATGAATTTGACAGATGCTGAGTTCGGACAGACAAAACAATAAACATTGATATAAACATCTATTAAAATTTTAAATTCAAATCAAAGTTGTGTTTTAAATTTCGTTTTTGTATTACTGTTCTCTCATATTTTCCATTATTTTGTGAAAAAATGAAATTGTCTCAGTCAAATAATTTGACAAAGTTTATCAGAAGTTTAGCTATTACCCTATTATACTCAACGAAGCTCGGAGATAAATGTACGTTCACCCGTAGAACGTTTAACGACCGTTGACTCGTCGAAAAAAGGGAAGGGGTGTGGTTTGGTCATTCAACAAGATAATTCCAAAGCTTTCAGACAAATTACTTCTTTATTTCAGCAATCACTTCTTTTTTATTAGTAAAATAAAATTAATAGGACTGTATTATATTTCTTTCCATTTTTGGGGACCATTATTATCAATTATGTTGTGTGCAGTATACAAATATGTAATAATGTGCACGTTTACAATCATCCATGTTTTATGTGGATGGCGAAGGAGTTGACAGAAAGAGATATGCAAAAAAAATATAGAATGACATTGTCAAAGTTTTAGGACCCTGTTATTTCAATAAAAAATATTACTTACTTCATTGTCGTGTTTGTGGACTACCGACTCAAGAGAATGTTGATTTCAACAAAGTGTGTTGTAAACGGTGTATACATACTGTCGGATAGCGGGAAAAATATTGATGTACTTTTTTATACAAGTATAAAAAGTAACATCATTCCATTATACAAGGTAACCCCCCCCCCCCCCCCCCCCCCCTATTTTTTTTAACCTAACTTCAGATTTCCAAACATAAACGATTCTGGAGTTTTTCTAAATAGATACGCCAATGTCTTCTCTAATGTCTCCTCTACGTTACATATACAGTCGTTGCCCGTCACAATCTCTATAAATTGGTCTTCAATCATCTTAAGGTACGCCATCCCTCGTTTTTACAATTTCAGTTTTTTAACCGTTACTTCAGATTTTGAACATAAACCACTCTGGAGATTTTCCTAAACGATGCGCCAATGTCTCCTCTACAACACCTATATAGTCGTTGTCCGTCACAATCTCTTTGAAATGGTCCAAAATTTCCTTTTAGTGCCCTACCCCCCTAATCTCATTTTGTCAATATCACAATAAAATTTTCAGTTTTTTAACCGTAACTTCAGATTTTCGAACATAAACCACTCTGGAGATTTTCTTAAACGATGCGCCATTGTTTCCTCTACAACACCTATATAGTCGTTGCCCGTCACAATTTCTTTGAAGTGGTCCAAAATTCCCTTTTAGTGCCCTACCCCCTTAATCTCATTTTGTCAATTTCGCAATAAAATTTTCAGTTTTTTAACCGTAACTTCAGATTTTCGAACATAAACCACTCTGGATTATTTCTTAAACAATGCGCCATTATCTCTTTTACAACACCTATATAGTCGTTGCCCGTCACAATCTCTTGAAATAGGTCCAAAATTAACTTAAATTGGCCTACCCCTAATCTCATTTTGTCAATTTCACAATTTCAGTTTTTTAACCGTAACTTCAGATTTTCGAACATAAACCACTCTGGAGATTTTCTTAAACGATGCGCCATTGTCTCGTCTACAACACCTATATAGTCGTTGTCCGTCACAATCTCTTGAAATTGGTCCAAAATTAACTTAAATTGCCCTACCCCCCTAATCTCATTTTGTCAATTTCACATTAAAAGTTTCAGTTTTTTAATCGTAACTTTAGATTTTCGAACATAAACCACTCTGGAGATTTTCTTAAACGAAGCACCATTGTCTCCTCTACAACACTTATAAAGTCGTTGCCCGTCACAATCTCTTTAAAATAGTCCAAATTTTTCTTTTAGTGCCCTACCCCTTTAATCTCATTTTGTCAATTTCACAATAAAAGTTTCAGTTTTTTAACCGTAACTTCAGATGTTCGAACATAAACCACTCTGGATAATTTCTTAAACAATGCGCAATTGTCTCCTCTACAACACCTATATAGTCGTTGCCCGTCACAATCTCTTGAAATTGGTCCAAAATTAACTTAAATTGGCCTACCCCCCTTATCTCATTTTGTCAATTTCACAATTTCAGTTTTTTAACCGTAACTTCAGATTTTCGAACATAAACCACTCAGGAGATTTTCTTAAACGATGCGCCATTGTCTCCTCTACAACACCTATATAGTCGTTGCCCGTCACAACCTCTTAAAATTGGTCCAAAATTAACTTAAGTTGCCCTACCCCCCTAATCTCATTTTGTCAATTTCACAATAAAATTTTCAGTTTTTTAACCGTAACTTCAGATTTTCGAACATAAACCACTCTGGAGATTTTCTTAAACGATGCGCCAATGTCTCCTCTACAACACCTATGTAGTCGTTGCCCGTCACAATCTCTTTAAAATGGTCCTAATTTTTCTTTTGTGCCCTACCCCCTAATCTCATTTTGTCAATTTCACAATAAAATTTTCAGTTTTTTAACAGTAAGTTCTGATTTTCGAACATAAACCACTCTGGAGATTTTCTTAAACGATGCGCCATTGTCTCCTCTACAACACCTATATAGTCGTTGTCCGTCACAATCTCTTTAAAATGGTCCTAATTTTTCTTTTGTGCCCTACCCCCTAATCTCATTTTGTCAATTTCACAATAAAATTTTCAGTTTTTTAACCGTAACTTCAGATTTTCGAACATAAACCACTCAGGAGATTTTCTTAAGCGATGCGCCAATGTCTCCTCTACAACACCTATATAGTCGTTGCCCGTCACAATCTCTTCAAAATGGTCCAAATTTTTCTTTTAGTGCCCTACCCCCTTAATCTCATTTTGTCAATTTCACAATAAAATTTTCAGTTTTTTAACCGTAACTTCAGATTTTCGAACATAAACCACTCTGGAGATTTTCTTAAACGATGCGCCATTGTCTCCTCTACAACACCTATATAGTCGTTCTCCGTCACAATCTCTTTAAAATGGTCCAAATTTTTCTTTTAGTGCCCTACCCCCCTAATCTCATTTTGTCAATTTCACAATAAAATTTTCAGTTTTTTAACCGTAACTTCAGATTTTCGAACATAAACCACTCTGGAGATTTTCTTAAACGACGCGCCATTGTCTCTTCTACAACACCTATATAGTCGTTGCCCGTCACAATCTCTTGAAATTGGTCCAAAATTAATTTAAATTGGCCTACCCCCCTAATCTCATTTTGTCAATTTCACAATAAAATTTTCAGTTTTTTAACCGTTACTTCAGATTTTCTTAAACGATGCGCCAATGTCTTCTCTACAACACCTATAGAGTCGTTGCCCGTCACAATCTCTTTAAAATGGTCCAAATTTTTCTTTTAGTGCCCTACCCCCCTAATCTCATTTTGTCAAATTCACAATAATATTTTCAGATTTTTAACCGTAACTTCAGATTTTCGAACATAAACCACTCTGGAGATTTTCTTAAACGATGCGCCATTGTCTCTCCTACAACACCTATATAGTGGTTGCCCGTCACAATCTTTTTAAAATGGTCCAAATTTTTCTTTTAGTGCCCTACCCCCCTAATCTCATTTTGTCAATTTCACAATAAAATTTTCAGATTTTTAACCGTAACTTCGGATTTTCGAACATAAACCACTCTGGAGATTTTCTTAAACGATGCGCCATTGTCTCCTCTACAACACCTATATAGTCGTTGCCGATCACAATCTCTTGAAATTGGTCCAAAATTAACTTAAATTGCCCTACCCCCCTAATCTCATTTTGTCAATTTCACAATTTCATTTTTTTAACCGTAACTTCAGATTTTCGAACATAAACCACTCTGGAGATTTTCTTAAACGATGCGCCAATGTCTCCTCTACAACACCTATATAGTCGTTGCCCGTCACAATCTCTTTAAAATGGTCCAAATTTTTCTTTTAGTGCTCTATCCCCTAATCTCATTTTGTCAATTTCACAATAAAATTTAAAGTTTTTTAACAGTAAGTTCTGATTTTCGAACATAAACCACTCTGGAGATTTTCTTAAACGATGCGCCAATGTCTCCTCTACAACACCTATATAGTCGTTCTCCGTCACAATCTCTTTAAAATGGTCCAAATTTTTCTTTTAGTGCCCTACCCCCCTAACCTAATTTTGTCAATTTCACAATAAAATTTTCAGTTTTTTAACCGTAACTTCAGATTTTCGAACATAAACCACTCTGGAGATTTTCTTAAACGATGCGCCATTGTCTTCTCTACAACATCTATATAGTTGTTGCCCGTCACAATCTCTTGAAATTGGTCCAAAACTAACTTAAATTGGCCTACACCCCTAATCTCGTTTTGTCAATTTCACAATTTCAGTTTTTTAACCGTAACTTCAGATTTTCGAACATAAACCACTCAGGAGATTTTCTTAAACGATGCGCCATTGTCTCCTCTACAACACCTATATAGTCGTTGTCCGTCACAATCTCTTTAAAATGGTCCTAATTTTTCTTTTGTGCCCTACCCCCCTAATCTCATTTTGTCAATTTCACAATGAAATTTTCAGTTTTTTAACCGTAACTTCAGATTTTCGAACATAAACCACTCAGGAGATTTTCTTAAACGATGCGCCAATTTCTCCTCTACAACACCTATATAGTCGTTGCCCGTCACAATCTCTTCAAAATGGTCCAAATTTTTCTTTTAGTGCCCTACCCCCTCAATCTCATTTTGTCAATTTCACAATAAAATATTCAGTTTTTTAACCGTAACTTCAGATTTTCGAACATAAACCACTCTGGAGATTTTCTTAAACGACGCGCCATTGTCTCCTCTACAACACCTATATAGTCGTTGCCCGTCACAATCTCTTGAAATTGGTCCAAAATTAACTTAAATTGGCCTACCCCCCTAATCTCATTTTGTCAATTTCACAATTTCAGTTTTTTAACCGTAAGTTCAGATTTTCGAACATAAACCACTCTGGAGATTTTCTTAAACGATGCGCCATTGTCTCCTCTACAACATCCATATAGTCGTTGCCCGTCACAATTTCTTGAAATTGGTCCAAAATTAACTTAAATTGGCCTACCCCCCTAATCTCATTTTGTCAATTTCACAATTTCAGTTTTTTAACCGTAACTTCAGATTTTCGAACATAAACCACTCTGGAGATTTTCTTAAACGATGCGCCATTGTTTCCTCTACAACACCTATATAGTCGTTGCCCGTCACAATCTCTTGAAATTGGTCAAAAATTAACTTAAATTGCCCTACCCCCCTAATCTCATTTTGTCAATTTCACAATAAAAGTTTCAGTTTTTTAATCGTAACTTCAGATTTTCGAACATAAACCACTCTGGAGATTTTCTTAAACGATGCGCCATTGTCTCCTCTACAACACCTATATAGTCGTTGTCCGTCACAATCTCTTTAAAATGGTCCTAATTTTTCTTTTGTGCCCTACCCCCCTAATCTCATTTTGTCAATTTCACAATAAAATTTTCAGTTTTTTAACCGTAACTTCAGATTTTCGAACATAAACCACTCAGGAGATTTTCTTAAACAATGCGCCAATGTCTCCTCTACAACACCTATATAGTCGTTGCCCGTCACAATCTCTTCAAAATGGTCTCAATTTTTCTTTTAGTGCCCTACCCCCCTAATCTCATTTTGTCAAATTCACAATAATATTTTCAGATTTTTAACCGTAACTTCAGATTTTCGAACATAAACCACTCTGGAGATTTTCTTAAACGATGCGCCATTGTCTTTCCTACAACACCTATATAGTGGTTGCCCGTCACAATCTCTTTAAAATGGTCCAAATTTTTCTTTTAGTGCCCTACCCCCCTAATCTCATTTTGTCAATTTCACAATAAAATTTTCAGATTTTTAACCGTAACTTCGGATTTTCGAACATAAACCACTCTGGAGATTTTCTTAAACGATGCGCCATTGTCTCCTCTACAACACCTATATAGTCGTTGCCGATCACAATCTCTTGAAATTGGTCCAAAATTAACTTAAATTGCCCTACCCCCCTAATCTCATTTTGTCAATTTCACAATTTCATTTTTTTAACCGTAACTTCAGATTTTCGAACATAAACCACTCTGGAGATTTTTCTTAAACGATGCGCCAATGTCTCCTCTACAACACCTATATAGTCGTTGCCCGTCACAATCTCTTTAAAATGGTCCAAATTTTTCTTTTAGTGCTCTATCCCCTAATCTCATTTTGTCAATTTCACAATAAAATTTAAAGTTTTTTAACAGTAAGTTCTGATTTTCGAACATAAACCACTCTGGAGATTTTCTTAAACGATGCGCCAATGTCTCCTCTACAACACCTATATAGTCGTTCTCCGTCACAATCTCTTTAAAATGGTCCAAATTTTTCTTTTAGTGCCCTACCCCCCTAACCTAATTTTGTCAATTTCACAATAAAATTTTCAGTTTTTTAACCGTAACTTCAGATTTTCGAACATAAACCACTCTGGAGATTTTCTTAAACGATGCGCCATTGTCTTCTCTACAACATCTATATAGTTGTTGCCCGTCACAATCTCTTGAAATTGGTCCAAAACTAACTTAAATTGGCCTACACCCCTAATCTCGTTTTGTCAATTTCACAATTTCAGTTTTTTAACCGTAACTTCAGATTTTCGAACATAAACCACTCAGGAGATTTTCTTAAACGATGCGCCATTGTCTCCTCTACAACACCTATATAGTCGTTGTCCGTCACAATCTCTTTAAAATGGTCCTAATTTTTCTTTTGTGCCCTACCCCCCTAATCTCATTTTGTCAATTTCACAATGAAATTTTCAGTTTTTTAACCGTAACTTCAGATTTTCGAACATAAACCACTCAGGAGATTTTCTTAAACGATGCGCCAATTTCTCCTCTACAACACCTATATAGTCGTTGCCCGTCACAATCTCTTCAAAATGGTCCAAATTTTTCTTTTAGTGCCCTACCCCCTCAATCTCATTTTGTCAATTTCACAATAAAATATTCAGTTTTTTAACCGTAACTTCAGATTTTCGAACATAAACCACTCTGGAGATTTTCTTAAACGACGCGCCATTGTCTCCTCTACAACACCTATATAGTCGTTGCCCGTCACAATCTCTTGAAATTGGTCCAAAATTAACTTAAATTGGCCTACCCCCCTAATCTCATTTTGTCAATTTCACAATTTCAGTTTTTTAACCGTAAGTTCAGATTTTCGAACATAAACCACTCTGGAGATTTTCTTAAACGATGCGCCATTGTCTCCTCTACAACATCCATATAGTCGTTGCCCGTCACAATTTCTTGAAATTGGTCCAAAATTAACTTAAATTGGCCTACCCCCCTAATCTCATTTTGTCAATTTCACAATTTCAGTTTTTTAACCGTAACTTCAGATTTTCGAACATAAACCACTCTGGAGATTTTCTTAAACGATGCGCCATTGTTTCCTCTACAACACCTATATAGTCGTTGCCCGTCACAATCTCTTGAAATTGGTCAAAAATTAACTTAAATTGCCCTACCCCCCTAATCTCATTTTGTCAATTTCACAATAAAAGTTTCAGTTTTTTAATCGTAACTTCAGATTTTCGAACATAAACCACTCTGGAGATTTTCTTAAACGATGCGCCATTGTCTCCTCTACAACACCTATATAGTCGTTGTCCGTCACAATCTCTTTAAAATGGTCCTAATTTTTCTTTTGTGCCCTACCCCCCTAATCTCATTTTGTCAATTTCACAATAAAATTTTCAGTTTTTTAACCGTAACTTCAGATTTTCGAACATAAACCACTCAGGAGATTTTCTTAAACAATGCGCCAATGTCTCCTCTACAACACCTATATAGTCGTTGCCCGTCACAATCTCTTCAAAATGGTCTCAATTTTTCTTTTAGTGCCCTACCCCCCTAATCTCATTTTGTCAAATTCACAATAATATTTTCAGATTTTTAACCGTAACTTCAGATTTTCGAACATAAACCACTCTGGAGATTTTCTTAAACGATGCGCCATTGTCTTTCCTACAACACCTATATAGTGGTTGCCCGTCACAATCTCTTTAAAATGGTCCAAATTTTTCTTTTAGTGCCCTACCCCCCTAATCTCATTTTGTCAATTTCACAATAAAATTTTCAGATTTTTAACCGTAACTTCAGATTTTCGAACATAAACTACTCTGGAGATTTTCTTAAACGATGCGCCATTGTCTCCTCTACAACACCTATATAGTCGTTGCCGATCACAATCTCTTGAAATTGGTCCAAAATTAACTTAAATTGCCCTACCCCCCTAATCTCATTTTGTCAATTTCACAATTTCAGTTTTTTAACCGTAACTTCAGATTTTCGAACATAAACCACTCTGGAGATTTTCTTAAACGATGCGCCAAGTTCTCCTCTATAACACCTATATAGTCGTTGCCCGTCACAATCTCTTTAAAATGGTCCAAATTTTTCTGTTAGTGCTCTACCCCCTAATCTCATTTTGTCAATTTCACAATAAAATTTTCAGTTTTTTAACCGTTACTTCAGATTTTCGAACATAAACCACTCAGGAGATTTTCTTAAGCGACGCGCCATTGTCTCCTCTACAACACCTATATAGTCGTTGCCCGTCACAATCTCTTGAAGATGGTCCAAAATTAACTTAAATTGGCATACCCCCTTATCTCATTTTGTCAATTTCACAATTTCAGTTTTTTAACCGTAACTTCAGATTTTCGAACATAAACCACTCTGGAGATTTTCTTAAACGATGCGCCAATGTCTCCTCTACAACACCTATATAGTCGTTCTCCGTCACAATCTCTTTAAAATGGTCCAAATTTTTCTTTTAGTGCCCTACCCCCCTAATCTCATTTTGTCAATTTCACAATAAAATTTTCAGTTTTTTAACCGTAACTTCAGATTTTCGAACATAAACCACTCTGGAGATTTTCTTAAACGATGCGCCAATGTCTCTTCTACAACACCTATATAGTCGTTCTCCGTCACAATCTCTTTAAAATGGTCCAAATTTTTCTTTTAGTGCCCTACCACCCTAATCTCATTTTGTCAATTTCACAATAAAATTTTCAGTTTTTTAACCGTAACTTCAGATTTTCGAACATAAACCACTCTGGAGATTTTCTTAAACGATGCACCAATCCTCTACAACACCTATATAGTCGTTGTCCTTCACAATCACTTTAAAATGGTCAAAATTTTTCTTTTAGTACCCTACCCCCCTAATCTCATTTTGTCAATTTCACAAAAAAAAATTCAGTTTTTTAACCGTAACTTCAGATTTTCGAACATAAACCACTCAATAGATTTTCTTAAACGACGCACCATTGTCTCTTCTACAACACCTATATAGTCGTTGACCGTCACAATCTCTTGAAATTGGTCCAAAATTAACTTAAATTGGCCTACCCCCCTAATCTCATTTTGTCAATTTCACAATTTCAGTTTTTTAACCGTAACTTCAGATTTTCGAACATAAACCACTCTGGAGATTTTCCTAAACGATGCGCTATTGTCTCCTCTACAATACCTATATAGTCGTTGCCCGTCACAATCTTTTGAAGATGGTCCAAAATTAACTTAAATTGGCATACCCCTAATCTCATTTTGTCAATTTCACAATTTCAGTTTTTTAACCGTAAGTTCAGATTTTCGAACATAAACAACTCTGGAGATTTTCTTAAACGATGGGCTATTGTCTCCTCTACAACACCTATGTAGTTGTTGTCCGTCACAATCTCTTTAAAATGGTCCAAATTTTATTTTTAGTGCCCTACCCCCCTAATCTCATTTTGTCAATTTCACAATAAAATTTTCAGTTTTTTAACCGTAACTTCATATTTTCGAACATAAACCACTCTGGAGATTTTCTTAAACAATGCGCCATTGTCTCCTCTACAACACCTATATAGTCATTGCCCGTCACAATCTCTTCAAATTGGTCCAAAATTAACTTAAATTGGCCTACCCCCTAATCTCATTTATTCAATTTCACAATTTCAGTTTTTTAACCGTAAGTTCAGATTTTCGAACATAAACCAATCTTGAGATTTTCTTAAACGATGCGCCAATGTCTCCTCTACAACACCTTTATAGTCATTGCCCGTCACAATCTCTATAAATTGGTCCAAAATTAACTTTGAGTGCCCAACCCCACAATCTCATTTTGAAAGTTTCAGTTTTTTAACCCTAACTTCCGATTTTCGAACATAAAGTGATCTGGAATTTTTCTTAAACGATGCGCCAATGTCTCCTCTACAATAACTATATAGTCGTTGCCCGTCACAATCTCTATAAATTGGTTAAACATTAACTTTTAGTGCCCTACCCCCCTAATCTTATTTTGTCAATTTCAGTTTTTTTACCGTAACTTCAGATTTTCGAACATAAACCTCTCTGGAGATTTTCCTAAACGATGCAGAAATGTCTCCTCTAAAACACCTATATAGTCGTTGCCTGTAACAATCTATTCAAATTGGTCAAAAATTAACTTAAAATGTCCTATTCCCAAATTTCATTTTGTTAATTTCAGTTTTTTTCTACCACAATTTAAGATTTTCGAACATAAACCACTCTGGAGATTTTCCTAAACTATGCGGCACTATCTCCTCTTAAACACCTATATAGCCTAACCTGTCACAATCTCTATTAATCGGACCAAACAACGTAAAGTGCACCCCAATTCCCTAAAAATGCATTGTGTCATTGTGTTAACTTATGGTCACTTTGCAATCCAGCTGTCTATTGAATGCCTTATGTGGATTTATTTAGTTAGGAAAGAAAAGCTTTGTATTCTTTATAAATGAAGTATGGTTTCCCTTTTGTTTTAAGTTAGTTTTTTCGTTTTTGTTTAAGATTGTATGTATTCTCATAATTGTTCGCTAGCTCGAAAAAACGTGATAACCTTATGTGATATTGTGGTTTTTAGTTATACCTCCTAATTGTTCGCTAAGACAGTAGGTCACTACCGTTCAAGGTTAAATGTGTAATAAAGTTAGCGAGTACGTAAACATTGGAATGGACAATTTCATCCGACTTTACACCGATTTGGGAACATAAAGCAGGTAAAATGCAGTTACTAATGAAATGTAGTATTAATAACAAACTGGAACACAAAACTAAGATGTTATTCGAATGCCACATGTTGGCGGAATTTCGTAACCAGCTGGTAACGCAAAATAGGAAACTGTCAGTTTTGCCGGGAACAAATTATATTTTCGGCTAAACAAAACTATGAAAGTATAATTAAACATTCATAACAGTAAAGTTTGCTTCCAAAATGTTGTATGTAAACTTGAAAATTGTTGTATAATGGCTTTGGGAATCAAATGCTTGTACATTTCTTTATTTCTGTGAAAATCAATTAAGTTTTTGGGTAATCCAGAAATGTCAAAGTTTTTACTTCACAGCCATTTACAAAAATGTTCAAGTTCCATACGACATTATGGAAGCATGCATTTCGACCAAAGTTTCAAAGCCTGTTTGTGAGATATTTTTTTTTTTGAAAAATTAGTAATTTTCAACATTTTGGAAGCCCAGGGACGATATTTGAGTTGAGTCTAATTTAGTTGGCCAAAATTATAGTAAATATCAAACCTACAGGTAGAGATTCGATAGAAGTTTAACTTCAGGAAAAACCATGAATAATGTAAATCATTTGGATGCAGCTTCTTTACCATATATTGCTGTTTTCTGTAGAATCAAAATAATAAACTGTAGACATCTTTGAAGTAAGTAAATGTTAAGATTTGTATAGCTTCTTCTTCTTCTTCCTGGTACGGGAAAGACTCCGGTGCCGGAGTGTGGAATAACCCGGAACTGTGGCGCTATGTACATGCAAATGGATGTCGAAAATTGTGTTATAATAAAATAAAAATATTTGCCACAGTTCAATTACAATTTAAAATAGCATTAGTTGTAGCTTAATGTTAAACATATTCACATTATGTACAGTGGCTTAAATACACTAATTAATTAGCCAGACTAGAACCTCCAAATGTTAAGGTGGAGATACAACCTTTGAAGGATTCTAGGGAGGTTGACATGCAAATTGTTTCTGGGAGATCGTTCCAGACAGCAATAGTACTTGGGAAAAAAGATGATTTAAAAAAGTCTTTATTTGTATATATATGTCGAAATTTATGTAGGCCTCTAGTTCGCCTGTCAGATTGTGTCAGGACGTCATTAGTGACTTCGACCAACCCCCCATTAATCTTATAAATCAAGACAAGCTTAGCTTTTGTTCTACGGGATTGCAAGTTTTCCCATTTTAGTTTGTTTAACATACCAGTGACAGCGCCTGGTGATCTATCGTTATAATCATTAAAAACATATCTTGCTCAATTTGGTTTATTTGGCTTTGTTTGTACGGATCCCAAACTGGTGAGGAGTACTCAACGGTCGGACGCACAAGTGATGTGTACGTAAGGTTAAAAGTACGTAAGGTTATTAACCTTACGTGTACAGTTTTTCATTTTTCTACGTAAAAAACCTAGTGTTTTATTTGCCTTTGAAGTTATATTATTAATATGGGGCCCCAATCAAGATCATTGCTTATTGTAATTCCTAGATACTTGCTGTCTCTGACAGATTCAAGTACATGGTTATGTAATTTATATTGAAATAAATTAGTTCTTGACTTTTTAGAAATATTTATGACATAGCATTTTTCAGGATTAGATTTCATTTGCCATTCAGATTCCCAATTTTCAAGGCTTGATAGATTTTTTTGGAGTGCTTGAGACTCATTTATATTATTTGATGTTTCATAAAGTAAACAGTTGTCAGCAAAAAGACGAACCTTACAGGAGACATGCTCAGGTAGGTCGTTTATGAATAACAAAAATAAAGTTGGGCTTAATACTGTGCCCTGAGGAACACCAGAGTCAACAGCTAATTTGGAAGATTGAACACCGTTAAGCAGGACTTGCTGTTGCCTGTTTGACAAAAAATCTTTTATCCAAAGTAAGTTATTTTCACGTATACCATAATAATTAAGTTTTGTTATTAATCTTTCATGGGGGACCTTATCAAAAGATTTAGAAAAATCTAAAAGTATTGCATCAACTTGATTACCTTCTGCCAAGTATTTGGCTATGTCCTGGATGCTGATAACAAGTTGTGCTTCACAGGAACGTTTACTCCTAAAGCCATGTTGGCAATCATTTAAAATCTTATTTAAATCTAAATGTTTTCTAATATTACTTGTTAAGACGTGTTCTAAAACCTTACAACATACAGCCGTTAAAGAAACCTGTCTAAAGTTAATTGCATTATGCTTATCTCCCTTTTTAAAAATTGGCACAACATTTGCCTGTTTCCACTCTTCTGGGATTTTTCCATCATTTATGGATTTTTGAAAAAAGAATACAAGGAAGGGGGATATCTCTTCCGAGAGTTTATTAAGGAAAATAGCAGGGATATCAGGTCCACTAGCTTTATGGGGGTTTATATTTTTAAGGAGTTTAATTATGCCATTGATACTAATGGTTATATCTGGCATGGTGGGGGTAGGGACTTTTAGGTTTATGTGGCATAGAAGTTTTATCTTCTTTAGTAAATGCACTTTTAAATTGTTCATTTAAAATATTTGATTGTGTTTGTGGATCACTATAAAGTAATCCATCTTTACCTTTCAAAGGTAAGACTCCTGATGTTTCAGTCTTTTTCACTTTTATGTATTGCCAAAATGATTTTGGTTTTTCCTGTTGTGGACTTATGATTTCTTCCATATATTTACTTTGGGCTTTCCTAATTTCTCTTTGAGCTGTTGCTTTAAGCTTTTTGTATTTATCTTTGTGGATTTGTTTCCCAGTTTTTTTAGCTTTATTAAATGCTGGTCTTTGTTTTTTACATAAACTATCAATTTCTTTATTTGCCCAGGGATTTGTATATTTAGATTTTGTCATTTTACTTGGTATATTTTCATTGATGATTTTTATTATTCCATCTCTAAACTTAATCCACCACTGATCTATAGTAAGTTCTAATGTGGTCTGGCTTAGCAGATCACATATAAATGATTTTATAATGTTTTTAATTTTTTCTAAATCCACCTTCTTCCATAAGAAAATTTTATGGGGGCATTGCGTAGCTCTTTTAGGCTTACAAATGGCATCAACCAAAACTATGTTGTGATCCGATATACCAGGTATTGATTTAATTTTGGTTATAAGATTTGGTTGGTTGGTACAAAAGATGTCTAAAATATTATCTTTCCTGGTAGGAAAATTTACTAACTGATCCATGATCATCCATACCTAGATTGTTTAATAAATCTAAAAAGATTTCATTCATTTCCTTCGGTTAC